GTTACTGGTTTACAGTTGAGTTCGGACTGTGTAAGCAAGAAGGAGAGATAAAAGCCTATGGCGCTGGACTACTTTCTTCAAATCATGACTTTTTTTTGTTTGTTTATAGTGTTACTGGTTTACAGTTGAGTTCGGACTGTGTAAGCAAGAAGGAGAGATAAAAGCCTATGGCGCTGGACTACTTTCTTCGTTTGGCGAACTCGAGGTTTGTTTATCATAACTGGTAAAGATTTCAACTTTCATATTATTTTTGAGCGCTCTAAAGTCTTTTCATCTTCATTTTGTTAGTTCTCGTTTACTGAATAACACATTAATTATATTAACCATAACTTTAGATAACCAAACGCACGATGAATACTGTAATTCAGGACGCTATCATAATTCGAACTAGAACTGTAAGGATTTGAACACACTGGAGTTTATCTCTCTGTAGGAGGGGAAGATTGATCAATGTAATTCAATTTGTAAATCCAATATCATATCAGTCGTTCACTTTGGCTTTCATAAATAATTTATGTGATAGATCTTTTCTGAATAGTTAGAACTAGGAAACGAAACACCTTACCAATATAATGACATCTAATATTGTATTACCGTTTCCAGTATTGCTTAAGTGATAAACCAGAGATTAGGCCTTTCGATCCTTATAGAACTGGGGAGCAGAAGTATCCCATAACGGAGTACCAGCCCGTCTATTTTCTGGCTGATAGTTTTGAGGACGCTCAGAGGAAAATGAGGTGAGCTTTTTACTAAGTGTTAACTCGAAATAATTAATACGTATATCAATATTTTTTTTTTCAAAAATGAAGTATACTTTATCTTGTTTAGAAAACCAGTCAGTGTTTCATTTGTTAGAGTGAAATTCTGAAGCAAAATAGTTCATTCATTCTTATCCCTTATTACTATAGTTTAATTGTTGCCAGCTAGTAAACATTGTTGACAGGAAACTCTTCACTTGTATTTTTTAACGTCCTATTATTGACATTTCAAGAATAAAGCAGTAATTAAATAATTACTGAAGAAATTTTCAGACAGTTAAAATTTGTATAAATAAACCAAATTTAAAAAAAGAACAAGGAATTTTGCGAAAATTTGAGGAAAAGTATATACTTCATAGATTTGTTACGCCTCGAATTTGTTTATTTAGATTAACTTTCCAAAAATAAAATTCCGACAGAACAAAAATTTAACACGTCCCTCAGGAGCCAAGGGGTATCTTTACACTACGATTTGTTGAATTATTTAAAGTAAGTTCAATCCGGAAACTCTCAAGGAGGGTGATTTTGGACGTATCTTTTCGAGACAAGTTTTTTGTTTGTTAATTGATGAAATTTTAAGTGAAATACAGCATCCTCAAGTCTCCATACTAGCTAGTACTAAGGTCTACCCGCTGGGAGTAAACTCAGTATATATCAATAAAGCCACATTCTCAGCAGCATTGATTAAGCAATTGCCAACCTTTTAAGCTTCTGCTATCACCTTTTTATATTTAGCTTTCAATTTAAATACGAACGATTTCACCTACGATTTGGTAGGGAAGATCGAAGCATCACGATAGTCAGCAGTAGGATGAGCAGACAGGAACACTTTGAAAGCAGCTACACGCACAATATTGCACTTGGCTTATTGCACAATATCTATCTATCAAAGTGGTTCTAAACGGTTCCTGGATACCTTTGCGTGTCATTTGGAGACTTTCATGCTTCTTGTGCTTGGCCGTTAAGGTCGGGATGCGCTGACGGATTTCAGTCATCTTACCACTTTAAATCACTTTTCGCAGCCCCAACGCTAAGAGAGTGCGGGAAATGCCTTCTTTTTAGCCAGTAAAAATGCCCAAAAAATTTCAGTTTAAATTAAGAAAACCGCATTGAGTAGTTGTTTTGTTTTTCAACAGAAATGTTCCCCACTGGCTCGTGAGGGGTCTGTTAAGAAAAATTAAATAAATATGCGGTGATCAATATTATTTAATGAATTACTGTCAACATTCTTCTTTGTCTGTATCAGCGCTGTGGTCATTTTTAGCTCGATTGATGTTCAGAAACTGTGATTAACTTTACTCATAAAAACATAGTTCATGTTAATTAAATACTGCAACGCAACTCTGATGCAGTTTCTGCCTTTGTTGTTTTCAGAAAGTTTGCCTTGTCTATTCCACGCCCGTTTACAGTTCGCTACAACGCCTATACCCAGAGTGTGGAAATCTTGGATACAAAACCACAGGTCCAAGGACTGGTCAGAGACATCCAATGTAAGTTGTAATTATATGCACTTAAATGATGTAGTGACGACTCTTGCGTTCAAGAACAACGAAATACTTGTACAGACACAAGGAACTTCAACTAATTTAGATAGCAGCAATGACTGTATTTTTTAACCAAATGCACTCATTAAAATATATCAAAATATATAAACATCTTTAATTTACTTTCCAAAGTATTGTTTGTTTGTTTGTTTTTGAATTTCGCGCAAAGCTACACGAGGGCTATCTGCGCTAGCCGTCCCTAATTTAGCAGTGTAAGACTAGAGGGAAGGCAGCTAGTCATCACCACCCACCGCCAACTCTTGGGCTACTCTTTTACCAACGAACAGTGGGGTTGACCGTCACATTATAACGCCCCCACGGCTGAAAGGGCGAGCATGTTTGGTGGTATGCGGATTCGAACCCGCGACCCTCAGATTGTGAGTCGAACGCCTTATCCACCTGGCCATGCCGGGCCACCAAAGTATTGATTTATGATTGGTTACCATAACACTTTTGAAGTAATAATTCATTACCCTCAGTTTTATTACCTGCAAGATATATGTATATACGTTATCATAGTTATATACGTTAAATTTAAGCTGCGGGCAAGACTATCTATGTAAGATTGCTGTAACGATCAAGTGTACACAGTAATGTTTTTATTATATTTGTATATACGTTATACGTATCACAGTTATATACGTTAAATTTAAGCTGCGGGCAGGACTATGTATGTAAGATTGCTGTAACGATAAAGTGTACACAGTAATGTTTTTATTATATATGTATATACGTTATCATAGTTATATACGTTAAATTTAAGCTGCGGTCGAGACTATGTATGTAAGATTGCTGTAACGATCAAGTGTACACAGTAATGTTTTTATTATATATGTATATACGTTATCATAGTTATATACGTTAAATTTAAGCTGCGGTCGAGACTATGTATGTAAGATTGCTGTAACGATCAAGTGTACACAGTAATATTTTTATTACAATGTTTATTATAAATCATAGCTTTACTAACTATGAATGCTACATCGTTTGATTGGTTGTCTAGGAACTTATAAGAACTTATGAACGAAAGCAAAGAAGAATATATAATAATATGTCAAACATATCATATCCAACGCCGACGAGGCCTTTTGCCCAATACCACCGCTCATCAGACGGACCGGGATACGACAGACATATTAGTGGTCTAGGTACTATTTACAACATCAGTTGCACTAACAACACCTGTAATGGTGTGAACTACATTAAGTAAATCCGTGTAAAATATCCCTAGAAATATGGATCAGGGTAACAAAGCTACTGATATCAATAAATTATTTGTTTATTTTAATAGAATTGTAAAATTCTCACCGTCAACTGTTTTTCTGGGAGATTTGTCATGTTAATTTTGTTTATTTGTTTTTACAGTTGAAATGCAACTGCTGAGCGATGCCATGATGAAGATCAAGTAAAAAAACTTAACTCGTGAAGATGAGGAAATTCGACATCATGGAAAACAAGCTACGAGATCTAGAAATATTCAGACATTCTTATACAAGACCATTTTTTACACGAACAATTCAAAAGACTTTATAAGTGTAAGTTAACAGTGCTACCAATCTCTCTCATTTTGTTTGAACTGTTTTCACGAATGGCCTCGACTGAATCATCTTCATGCGTAATTTGTGGCTTAATTCAATACGTTAATGGGCTCCAACTATCAGATTAGTTATGTATACATGTTCGCCTAAAGCGGCAGTTACTTTCAGTTGCTCGTATTTTTCGTCTGAGAGTGTTAGTAAAAACACTTTTCCATTGTAAGTTCATATACCTTAGTAATATTTTTGTCATATGCTCTTTTACAATATTATGATAAACGTTTAGTATATAAGATATGACTTTGTACATAACAAACCATGGAGTTTAAACGCCGCTTTTGACAACTCCATAGGCTACTAAAGTTGCTGAAAAAGTTTAGTTTCTATTGAAGGACGTTGCATTATGTCATTATCCTTGATATAAGAGATCAGAAAAAAAAAACGTAATAATTCTACACGAATGTACAAAAGCTACCAATTATGTTGAAAGTACCATTCTTGTGTATTTTTATGAGATAAATCTCTGGTTGTGGTTATCCCATCACTTCTGTATTCCATAAATTTAGATACGTTGAGTTGAAAATATCGCTTATGTAGAAAGTACAAATAAGTGATTTAGAATATTTTCGATTTGTTATTGTGTGCTTCTCTTGGATTAGCGTAATAATCTGGCGATTTGCCTGACATCTGCCGAGAATTTTATAGATAGCAAGAAATTTAACATTTTCACGTATTTTTATAATTACGTTTAAGTTGTGATGGATGCTCACTGTGAATAACAGTGATTTTAATAGATTCGGTCCTACAATTGCTTCCAATGTTTTCTTTATTACGATAGTGTAACTGGGATGGGGGGGGGATTTTCAGAAAAATACCGATATATTAAATTGATGAAATGCGATCATCCGTATAGTTGAATACTACGACAGGTTTGTTAATCAGAATAAATAATGTAGGTTATTATGATAGAGAATATACAGTACTTTTGTTATACTGAAGCATAATTTTAGTTTTGTAACCGTTTAAAGTTTATTTTCAGATATTTCGAACTTGTAATTTTAAATATTGGTTCTTTCGTGTCAAAAACGTTATATATATTTGGGCATAATTTCATTTAAAAAAATTTATTTAGGAAAACTAAGAGGCAAATTCTTGTTTCTTTACAATATCTGAAAAAAATGTATTTAACTAAGTATTTGTAAATAAAATTTTTATTGTATAGTTTTTATGAACGGCTTTATACAACAGCCAACCAATAAAGATATTTGCCTAGAAATTTGATAAGATGTAACTTCAGAGTTGAAATAGTTGCTTATGTTTGAAACTAGTATATCTCTTTGTTGCACTAGGCAAGTAATGGCGTTTTCAACCGAAAACTTCGTAAGCCCAATCCTTATTGGTTGAAGCTTAGGAAAGATATACATTCAAATATACATAACAAAGAACATAAAATTTAAAATCATAATTTCGTTTATAGACATATTCTGATGTATTACAACTACAGGTACACCATGCAATATTTATATTAATACATATTCACTTAATATTTTTATATGAGTAATGAGTTTTCAGTTTGAAGTACAATAAATTTTGACATACAATAGATTGAATGAAAAACATTGAACTTTCAGTCAACGACACTAAAAAATGGTTGTAGGCTGTCAGAGGAGATAAATCACTTTTCTATAACATCTTAGGCCGGTCATGGTCTACTGGTTAGCATTCTCGAACAGTGAATCAAAGTGTCTATGGTTCGAGGCTTGGTGCCGTAAAACAAAATCTCAACTCTGAGACTGTGGGTGGGCTATAACAGTGACGGTGGAGTTCCACTATTCGGTCAGGCAAGAACTAGAGATAAGTGATTTTGATTTGTTGCCATCCTTTAAGTCCACCAGTTCACATTTATGGACTGCTATGCAACATTTGCACGAAATTTCTTTAAAAAAAAAAACTGTAACATCTATGGAATTGTGCACGCTGCCGTTTATGGCGCTTAACTTCATAACCTTAAATACTTCAATAAATCACTGCAATTAAAGAGTGCAATGTGTGTTGCCATATACTCACTACATTTCACATAATACGTTTTTATAAGTCTCCGTATATTCACATTCATATATGCACATTTCTAGTGTGTGACTGTTTCCAGTATCAATAATGAAAAACATTTTTACTACGAATTTGAATAATCAATTTATTCTTGAAGTGCTATCCACTTAATAAGCTAGTTTACACAATGTGACGATTAGCGCATAGTATTATGTAATAGAATTACGGGGAGCATCTCTCACTACAAGGTTAAGATTACTATACTATTCTCAATAAAACTAGTAGCATAATTACTTCTAGCAACAACAAAACAACAACATGACGGTGTTTTTTTAACTCATTGGAGCTAACCAATACTTATAAAGGATTATAAATACATACCATTGATTCTACTAACATATTTTTATAAATTGTTCACAGTACTACCTTTTTAAAATGCTAAAAAATAAACATGAAGCCTAATATATTACTCGATTCGCCACTTATCGCCAAAAACTAAGATGACGTTTTTTTTTTCAGCAGTTAGTCTGAACTCTAGATAAGTCTTTGATAAAGCACCTCATAACTGATGAATTGGTAAACTGGATGCTAATTAAGTTGGTGTAAAAAGTTAAAGCAATGGATAGAAAATTGGCTTGACGTCAGAAATCAAAAAATGATTATTAATGGTCAGTTTTCCGATATAAAGAATATAAGTAGTAGGTTCACTTAGAGGTTTATTTAAAGACTTGCTTTTGATGTCCACTGTTTATTTCAACGATTTGGCTAGGTCCTTTGACAGTGATATTTGTAAACTTGCTGATGATACAAATATGATATTCTTAAGTGCGCTGATTTCCCCTAATAATCCGCAAAATAACATGAGGTCCGACAGAAAATGTATCACGAACCAAATGTAAATTCTCTGAACTTTGATTGAGAGTTTGAAGAAACGGAAGTGATTGAAAACAATTTATAACTAAGTGGAATAATCATTATTCGAATCCCAAACCAAATTAAGAAATGTATATTCACAAAGAATATAGCCTTTACTGGAATGAGCTCTCTCTGTGTATCAAGAAGTTGTATCACTTGAGAGTTTGAAGTTGAAATTAAATTTGTTGAAACTGAGAGAACATAGCATTATATGCATGAAACAATAATGGTGGTCTTCTCAGGAGTTGCATTCACTCATTCCCATTTTAAAAAAATAAGGGAAATTAGCTTACCTGCCAATGGAAAAGACTGCTGTTTTCTATTACATAACATGTACAACTTTACAGAAATATTTTTGACAAGATAGCACAGTTGATAACTTAGGTGAATGATCCAGAACAATAGGTAATTAGAATAAAAGAAACTTAGATACTTACATAACCAATGTTCTATATTGAACTACCTACATCTGCATAAATGAAAATTTTGAAGAACTGTATATTAAACACGGAGGTAGCAAACATATGGTATGACTATATATACCATACTTTTCTCCCTCCTACACTTTCAGACTGTCTTGGCCACTCTTAACTTTAAAATTTAAGAACCAATTAAAAGTGTTTGAGCATCAATTAAGAAATCGATGTTACATTATCTTGCCTCTGTAAAACAATTACGTTGTAGCACACAAGTAATGCTAATAATATGATGTCACGAAGTCAGTTAAATTAAAATGTAAAGACAAATCTAGACATATCATAATACATCAAGGTGAATATTTTAACATCAGTATAACTACAAAGTCAAACCTCTGAAACTTAAAGTTACTTCATAACTTGAGAAAAAAATATATATACATAGTGATACAACTTTCTAGAGAACAATACAAAATAAACCCTCGTTTATAAAAATTTAAAACATACAATAAATCCATTGACATGAAATCAAAATCCAAAGTAAACATGCTGCACCTTAATTAAAAGACAAAGAAAACTCTCTTTTACAAAGTTAACAAATACGAAACATAAAGTCACCTATAAATATTCTCTTCATAATATTCACCCAAAAAATGGCATGAAATTTAAAATTCCCACTAAAATAAATTGAAATAACCCTTTACAAAAAATATATGTGCAAGTGGCCATAAGCAATATTTACTGTGAGAAAAAGGAAAATAAAAAAGAGGTTATAGCACACAATTATAAATAAGTAGGTGAAACATGCGTCTATTCTTTAGATTTTTATCTCTGGATCGATGTTTCAACCTTATGACCACAGAAAGAGGTTATTACGAACATTCGAGAGAGCTCGCTTGTTGGAGGTCTACACCAGCAACAGATTTATAATGGACCCTGATGTTTCCTTGACGTTGCTGGAACCTTGGAGTGATTTCTTGGGATGTAACTTTTTATTTGAGAATATGGATCATCAAGTGACAAAAATGATGTGCAAAACGACTGACAAAGACGAGATAACCAAAAAACAAAAATTCTACCGTACATAACAAATGTCAAGAATGAGAGATTTTCCACACAGTGTCCAAGGATCATGACATTCAACAAATGGAGAGGGTTTCACCGTGTAGTGAGAAAATCCATTGGCACTTCCGTGTTACAGGCCCAGATGATGCCATGTGACTAAGTTATACTCCTGCAATGTTGCTATCTAATTGTCAATAATACTTTCTGGATTTTTAAATTTCATAATCCACTTCAGTGGTTTATGATCCACCCAAATGGTGAATTTTCTACAATGCAAGTATTGCCAGTAGAGTTTGACAAAGGCCACAACTGCAAGCATTTTATTCTTAATTATTCACTATCTCCATTCAGGAGTACATGAGTAGCATATGTTAATACACATTACAACTGCAATAAAACTACCTTAGTTCCATTATAACTGAGAGGAGTATCGAACTAGAATGCACAACAGTAACACTGGAGTTCCCATTAAAGCATGCTTATATTCCTTGTTCCGTCTAAAAAGTCCCTCAAGATTAGTATCAGTAGATAATGGTGTGGTGATCTTGGAGAAGCTAGTCACAATTCGTGCACACTTCCTTGGTTTCAATTTCAAACCTGCATTTCTTATCCACTGAATTTCAGAAGCAGATTTGAACATGTGGCTAAACACCAAAACATCATCAACATAGACTAGTCATTTCACACATTGTAATCTCTTAAGTGTAAGCTCTATTACCCTCTAAAAAGTGGCAGATGCATTAGAGAAACCAAATGGCATGATGCAAAAACTTGTAAAAACATCTTGAGTGGTGAAAACAGTCTTAAGTCTGCCCTGATCATCTAGTTCGACTTGCCAGTATATGTCAGGTCTAAAATGTTTAACCAATGGGCTCCTTCCAATGCATCCAGGCATTCGTCTATCCACAGGAGTGGAAAAGCATCAACCCCGAGTTACTGTGTTCACTTGTCTAAGATCAACATAGGACCTTGCCTGACAATCACTACTGGAGATGGTCACTCACTCACTGAAGGTTGTAGATTCTGTCCTTTAATATTAACTGTATATTAAACTAGCTACGTCCTTAGTGCTTCTGGAAAGCCTTTATGGACGAGCATTGCCTGTATCTATGTGATGGCTAGTTACTGTTATTCAATCCATTCAGTCATCTAGTACCTCAAGTACATTTTCATTTTCAAACAATAAGTCACTAAGCTTCTCTCACTGCATTTAGTCCAGATTGCTTGCACAATCCTCAACCATCAAA